TAAAGAAGTTCTACAAAAGAGGAAGCCAATGTTTTTTTGTTCGTACTTGTACAGAAGATTGTTTGATGGAACCAAAACTAGCAACCTTAAGGAAAAAACAAGTCACAAGTTTTAGAAGAGATAAGAAATAATGTAAGCTGAACCTAAAAACGTATTATGAAGTAACCGATCCAAAAAAAATATTCCTTGTTGATACTGATGATAGTTTTAATAACTTCTTCGAGTTTGAGGATTTGAAAGACCAACTTCTGCTTGCTGCTGAGTCCGCAAAAATTGGAGACATTCCCTTTTCTTTCAACCTGAAGCATACGGACGACGTTATGAATTTACAAAAAGAATTCTTGGAGAGAAGAATAAAAGAAAAAGGGCTTCTAGCTTCGACAGCTAAAACCATTGATGAGAGAAAGGAGATCCTAAAACGAGAAATCTTGTCCCAGCAGGAGGTTTTTGGAATTGATAAAAGCAGTTTGGCCGAATACCAAACTGAGTATGATTTGCCCAAAGGTTTGATTGGAGATTTTACTATTGAATTTGACAAACGATATGGCAGTTCTGGGGGAAATGTAATACGTTTTGACAAAGTCGACGATAGCCGACGTACTCGCAGCGTTTCTACGTATTTTCGGCGGGCTTCTGATTTTGTCTTGGAAGTTAAAGGTAGTAAAGGGGCGACTTATGTTTGTAAACAATGCATAAAGATTCTTGAAGATAGTTTGCAGATGATATATAGCTTACGTGAAAAATTAAATAAAGAAGTAATGTCACACCTTGTGACAAAGAAACGAAATGACAGAGAATCAGAAATGTTGGGAACAAACATTCGCAGACAAACTAAGACAAAACTTAAAGTACATCGACAGTAAGTCTGAAACGTTGATTTTGCCCGCGAAAACTTCGGACTCTCGAAAACATATAAATTAACAGTACCAGGAGAAATCAATCGGACCATCATTGATATAGTGTCTTTTTTCGAAATAAAACTTTTTTAATTACCTAAAGGAAGAATGTCAAAATCTTTTTCGTAATTTTGTATCAATGTCGATAAGATTTTTGTATTAATTCATTCCCATTGAACTTTTTTGTTATGTCGATTCTGCGCGTGAAGATATGTTTGTGGAGCGGTTTATAATTGTCTTTCTTATGTTTACTATGCTTTGTTATGCAAATGTATTTTATTCTATTTTGTTTTCGTTTAACACTCCCCTTACGTGTAATGAAATTAGTCAATTAAGTCAGGAGTAAGTATTTGGTTGACAAGGGTGAAGATTGTTTGTGGTTGGCGAAATTCTACAATATATTTTTAGCCTTTGACGTTTCATACCCTTAAAAATATTTTACTATTTTATTCTCTAGTCTACAAATTGTTACAATGACAATACAACCTCTGCAAAACAAAAAGACAAAAAAAATGGTTTATGCTAAAAAGTTTTGCTTAAAGGCGGTAAAATGTTCTATGATGTTGAATGACTTGAATTACGCGTAGTTATATACTAATGTTCCGCCACAAAGGACTGCTCTAAAGAGTTTCCAAAATAAGAAATATGTAACATATATGTATTAACGATTTGATATTGTTAATAGTGCTAAATTGTCAATGTTTTATTGATAGTTCATCATATACATGTTTCCTATTATTTTTACTAATGGCCCAATGAGCAACTTTAAAGTTTTGTATATTAAATAATCCCTGCTAATAGCAACAGACTAACCGTTCTGAAGATGCCTCAATGTGTGTGATTGTATAAATCTAAGTGTAAATAAAACGCTATACTTATTTATTGTAAAGGTGTTGTAACTTTATCCAAAACTGTACAATGTCTTTATCAAATTTCATTATGGCAATTGTAGCATAATTTACAATTTAATGAATTGAATAAATAAACAAAATTTTAATTTTAAATCACTACGTCTTGATACTAGTCAAATGGCGACTTTTAAACCCTTTTTCAGATTTATATGCCACATCAGCAGGTGTCAAATGCCGTGTGGTAGCTGTAACACGTTGCCCCTTACTTAACATCAGTGATGTTGTTGTTTTGATGGTCTTTTCGGGATCATTGATTCCAGCACGTTAATGTTGAAGATCGAATATCCGCTTTAGCCGGGGATAGGGGGGCATGAGAGATGTTGCAGATTACATAATCTTTAATGAACATACTCAATCTAACCGAGTCTGCATTTCTCATATAATATTGTTATTTTCATTGCTTCCGAGGGATCAACCGTTTTCCAGATTTCTAAACAGCATGACTGGTGGACTGAATACCTCTGTGGCCTTTGTGCAGTATTTCAGATAGAAATGAAAGCCTCAGTCGCTCTTCGGATCGCCATTTAAGTCTGTAAACACTATGTAGACCTGTTCGTCACACGGTAACTATTACTTGATAGCTTTCTAAAAAGAAAGTATCCAAAGTCCATGATGTGATTCCAACCAATAGCAGTGAGGGGCCAGTGAGCTATCTTAATCAAGTCTAATAGAAAATCACTTTTTGAATAAATACAAGAGGTTAATTTTGACTCATAAACGTTTAATGAGTGAACAATCTTTTTTTCTCTTTCTTATTTCAAAATCTTATAAAATGAATGATGGTTCAAAGAAAAATATAGTGTTATCCCTTGCAGAGCAGTTACAATGTTCGCATTATCTGTAATATTTTTAAAGGAAATCAAAATAATCAAGGTCAATTTGAGTATTTCCATTATCCTACATGAACAGACACAATCAAGTCAAGTCCGTAATTTTCATGTAATTTTGTTGTTTTAATTACTTCTATTTGATTACGTATGTCCAGATTTATTTCCTCAAAGTGTTTTATTTACGACTGTACTTTCAACTTCTTAAAGATCCTGTATGTTGTAATTAAGGATGAAACAAGTGGTGGCGTTGGTAGTTTTCACTCCGGATCACGACAGTAAGCTACATTGAATTCAACCACCGCATCGTTCCTTGACAAGCTGTCAAGCAGTTTACCAGTACTAGTTGCCTTCACTTTCGCAAGGAACTGAAACTTCTGTACATACCAGAGTAGAGGTACAGTGCGAATGACCATAGAAATTATTTCATGCTCAATTACAAAGAAAGTGACGTGCGCCGTCCGGTAATCGAACGCCTGTCGCCCGATTTATGATATAAAACACTAACAAATTTAGTTACAGGATCTTTAATGAGGGTTTTCAAAACACAATCTTGTAAACAGCTTTACTTGGACCTATTTTCCCGCTAAAGAAACTGATCAACGTATTACTGTTAATACACTGATGGTGCAAACATAAATCTAAAATTGATGTTAGTTGTCGCGCAGAGTTGGATTAAAACCAAAAACGGATGATATACTCATACGAACTTGCTCTTACTTGTTGCTAATTTGAGCTAAAGTTATAATTTACTTAAATAAGTTTAAGTGTTGTAGACTAGGCTCGTCATTGATTTTACAATCCATTGCAGGATGATGCCTATTATATTTGAGGCCGAAATGGGTATACATATGTATTTACATAATTACACTTCTGGTTACAAAGTAAAACATGGTTCATTCCTTTATAACATTTAACTCTTATTAAAAGCTTGCAGATTTCAACCAATCAATGCACATATGTACAGTACCCTAGGAAGGTACAAATCGTTAAACATGATTTAAATGTGCATTATTTGTATTCATTTAACTGCTCTGTTTCGTTTCGTATTGTACTACACTGAATTGAGCCAGCATTTATTGCTTCAGTTGGATTGGATAAAAGAGTTTTATTTTTAAATGATGTTATTTTAAGAAAATGAAACGATGTTAAATGCAAAACATACTATAACAAAACAAAAAAACCCTCAAAACGCCTTTATGAAACTAAAAATGGTCGAATAGCTCCAATATTGTTGAAAAAATTAATAAAAAAAAACATGGAACTACGTGGTCCCGATCTTAGAACACGTAGCACACGTAGAAATTTAAAAACAAAAAAAGGTAGTTTACTACACTGTAACGTTTAGTATACGTTTATAGACACACAAAAAATTTAAACGCAATCATTACTGAATATCGACCAGTGTAAAATCGGTAACCAGTTGACATGTTAATTAGTAGTTAATTCGGACCTGCATATCATTGCTCATTTTTGGTACAGGTCCATAACCGGAGCATTACGAAATAAATCATAAGATACATGTACATGGTGGTGATAAAGTATACAACATAGAATATTTAATTGCGATTAAATATAGTCTTATTATGTTTGGCAATATTGACCTGAAACTGATTACTGAGTAATTTTCGAGAGTATTTTTTCGTAAGTTTACGTAAATCATTACGATTTACCAAATGATTTTCAATGATAATAAAGTTTTCGGCATATTTGTGACCTGATTGTCTCGTGGTAAGTAGGATGGCATTGCAGTCGCGGAATCCTCGATATACTATTTGTTTCAGAATTATTTCATCTTTCTTTAATTATACATGTATAAAATAATTTTTCCCGCTGTGTTTTTGTATAACTTTGATAACCATGCCTATGTAATTTCAATATGTTATGTCGCATAATTGATGTTTGGCATGCACAATAACATAGTTATCAAGTTTCGCATAAGATTCCAACCTACTTTACCTTCAAATTGAAACTGAATCTTTACTTCTTGCCATTAAGGCTATTTAGCCAGGGTTGTGTGACACATAAATCATGTATACCGTTATTCCAAACTTTAAAATCAGTAATATTTACTTCGGAATTTGATAATTATCGACACAAGTTAATTAGATCTTCAAATGTTACACGTCACTATTGCCAAACAATATATTGATAAAGTGGTAAAGATTTATCCTTTAAATAGTCCCAAACGTGACATAAGCTTTATTTTCTGAAACATCTAAAACGGAGATACCAGTTTTCTTGTTTCGTATTTAAAGAGAACGAAAGCACACATCCAGGTATTTGTTATTTTGTTGTTTTTGTTTGTTTGATTTTTGTTGTTTCTAGGGGGTGGGTTTCTTTGGGTGGGGGTTTATAATTGTTATATTTATTATTATTATTTTGTTTCTGTTTGGGATTGTTCTTAATATGGTCACAAACCTTGGTTATTATGGTCGGAGAAAGCAAGGTCTATGGATCTCTGGCTAGTGAGTTAAAGGGGTTGGCATGTCACATTTTTTATGTAACATTTGGGTGAAATAAAACGTCAAAAGTCTTTATTACATGATGTGATATGTTCGAGGGTAGACAGTAGATCGTCTAGAAAATTGTTTTTACACACTATTACATGTACACATAATTATTACCTTCCTGAGTTATAGATTAAATTTAAACATTAACGCTGACCCTAATGATAAATACATGCATAAGTTACTTACTTTTAAGAATTAAAACTTAAGGACTTACCAGCATATCTAACTTGATATTCTTAAGGACTTACCAGCATATCCAACTTGATATAACTTCGAAACTATAGACTGCAGATTTAAAACAGATTTGCGACCAGTCCTTCAAGGCAGTAAAACTAAGTTTGTCTAAGCACAAATTGATATATATATATATATATAGTTATTATTTACTCATCTCATGCTACTACACGATGAATTAGAGCTAAACTTACTTAAAAAGTACCGGGAACAACAGAATCCAAATTCTTAATATTTTAATTCAAAAGTGTTTGTTTTCAGTTGCAAAGACCATCTTCAATATGGCTTCTTGTTCTGTGAATATTACGGAAACTAGTGACGAAATCGAAGACGCAATAGAAATAGAAAACGAATGGCAATTGGAGCATGGTTTAGTGATAGGACAGTCTGTGGAAATCAATATAGCGGTGATTGGTCAACCAAAGTCAGGTAAATCTTCTGTTATCAACCGCCTTAGAAATATTCCATCGGGGGTGCAGTCGTAGACGATAGTGTAACAAATAACCAAGTGATGAAATATGACTTTCCTGAAAATCCTAATATCAAGCTATGGGAACTTCCTGGTAAGAAAATGCAAGACACCAAACAGATCACTGATCAAAATGGCACAGACTTTGATCGGTACGACTTCTTCTTGATATCTTGAGAAAAGCTTCATGGAATCTGATAATTGGTTCATTAAAGACGTTCTGCAAACGAGGAAGCCATGTTTGTTTGTTCGTACTTGTATCGGGAGATGTGTTGTTGGAACTAAACTAGCAACATTAAGGAAAAACAAGTCACAAGTATTAGAAGAGATAAGGGAAAATTGTAAGCTGAACATTATAGCGTATGGAGTAACCAATCTGAAAATATTCCTTGTTGATACTGATGATAGTTTTAATAACTTCTTTGAGTTTGAAGCTTTGCAAGACCAGCTCCTCCCAATGGCCGAGTCGGCAAAAATTGGAAACATTTCCTTTTCTTTTGATCTGAAGCATACGGACGACGTTATGAATTTACAAAAGGAATTGATGGAGAGGAGAATAAAAGATAAAGAGCTTCGAGCCTCAAAAGCTAAAACCATTGATGAGAGAAAGGAGATCCTAAAACGAGAAATCAAATTTCAGCAAGAGGTTTTTGGAATGGATGAATTCAGTTTGGCCAAATACCAAACGGAGTACGATTTGCCCAAAGGTTTGATCGGAGATTTTACAATTGAATTTGACAAACGACATGGCAGTTCTGGGGGAAATGTAATACGTTTTGACAAAGTCGACGATAGCCGACGTACTCGCAGCGTTTCTACGTATTTTCGGCGGGCTTTTGATTTTGTCTTGGAAGTTAAAGGTAGTAAAGGGGCCACTTATATTTGTAAACAATGCATAAAGATTCTTGAAGATAGTTTGCAGATGATATATAGCTTACGTGAAAAATTAAATAAAGAAGTAATGTCACACCTCGTGACAAAGAAACGAAATGACAAAGAATCAGAAATGTTGGGAACAAACATTCGCAGACATTAGTTAAACAATGTTTCGATTACCACGCTGATCATCACTTACAGATGTTATATGTAAATCAAATGTACCAATAATGAGAAATATTTACTATCTTAAGTATTCATAAGCGCTTTTCAACACTTCTTTTTCATACACATGTTGTTTCTCATATAGTTTTAACGGAACATGTGTGTCAAAAGCTAGTGTGTTAAATAAACATTAGTAAAGTAACTGTAAAATCAGACTTTAGGCGGCAATAATGTTCATTAAACATCTAAGAATCGTGTAAACATGACAAAACTTAAAGTACATTGACTGTAAGTCTAAAACGTTGATTTTGCCCGCGAAAACTTCGGACTCGTGAAAACATATAGATTAACAGTACCAGGAGAAATCAATCGGACCATCATAGATATAGTGTCTTCTTTCGAAATAAAAACTTTTTATGGAAGAATGTCAAAAACATTTTCGTAATTTTGTATCAATGTCGATAAGATTTTTGTATTAATTCATTTCCATTGAACTTTTTTGTCATGTCAATTCTGCGCGTGAAGATATGTTTGTGAAGCTGTTTATAATGTTTATTATGCTTTGTTATGCAAATGTATTTTATTTTACTTGATATTGTGTACGTTTAACACTCCCCTTACATGAAGTGAAATTAGTCAATTTAGTCAGTAGTAAGTAATTGGTTGACAAGGGCGAATATTTTTTTGTGGTTGGCGAAATTCTACAATATATTTTTAGCCTTTGACGTTTCATACCCTTAAAAATATTTTACTTTTTTATTCTCTAGTCTACAAATTGTTATTTGATTACATACAATGACAATATAATCTCTGCAAAACAAAAAGACAAAAAAAATGGTTTATGCTAAGAAATTTTGCTTAAAGGCGGTAAAATGTTTTATGATGTCTCTTTTTGAATTAGTTATATACATGTACTAATGTTTCGATGAGACATTTGATCCACAAAGGACTGCTCTAAAGAGTTTCCAAAATAAGAAATATGTAACATATATGTATTAACGATTTGATATTGTTAATAGTGCTAAATTGTCAATGTTTTATTGATAGTTCACCATATACATATTTCCTATTATTTTTACTAATGGTCTAATGAGCAACTTTAAAGTTTTGGGTAGAAGAAAATCCCTGCTAATAGCAACAGACTAACCGTTCTGAAGTTGTCTCAATGTGTGTGATTGTATAAATCTAAGTGTAAATAAAATGCAATACTCATTTATTGTAAAAGTGTCGTAACTTTATCCAAATCTGTACAATGTCTTTATCAAATTGCATTATGGCAATTGTAGCATAATTTACAATTTAATGTATTGAATAAATAAACAAAATTTAATTTTCAATCACTACGTCTTGATACTAGTCAAATGGCGACTTTTAAACCCTTTTCCAGATTTATATACCACATCAGCAGATGTCAAATGCCGTGTGGTAGCTGTAAAATGTTGCCCCTTACTTGACATCAGTGATTTTGTTATCTTTGATGGTCTTTTCGGGATCATTGATTCCAGCACGTTAATGTTGAGGATCGTATATCCGCTTAAGTCGGTGCTAGGGGACGTGCGAGATGTTGCAGATTACATAATATTTAATGAACATACTCAATCAAACCAAGTCTGCAATTCTCAAATAATATTGTTATTTTCATTGCTTCCGAGGGTTCATCCGTTTTCCAGATCTTTTAACATCATGACTGGTGGACTGAATACCTCTGGTGTCTTTGTGCAGTATTTCAGACAGGAGCGAAAACCTCAGACGTTTTCGGATCGCCATCCAAGTCTGTAAACACTGTGTAGACCTGTTCGTCGCACGGTAACTATTTAACAAATAAAACGTGGTCTTAAGGGCAATATGCAAGTTTACGGACTGGTTAGTCAGACTGAGGAAGGTATACGGCCCGAAGTCGTACTCGTAGTCGTCAACTTTGTCGTGGTCGTAGCCTGAACGAAAAAGTGATGACGATCAACATCTTGGTCATCTAACAGAAATGACCTATAAACGGTGATACGAGTACGCAACATATTGACGTATACAGCTTAATTAAGGTAATTTGTATACGGTTTAAGCTGTAAACGATGTTACAGTATCCGTATTACAGCTCACGCGTAAGCTATATACGTCGTAAGATGTATGCGGTGTTACACAGCCAGCTGGTAAATATTTATTTTTCATTTTCAGACATCTATTTGCTAAGTTAAGTGTATTCATCTAAATTTACTGCTCATGTTGTACTGACAAACAAAAGAAAACATGATGAAAAAATATCAGAAGTGTTCAATACTTCCCAAACACCATGTCTGTTTTGTTAACAAATTTTACCCTTGCTAATCAAGTTCAGACTTCCATTTTACTTTATATAAAGTGTTTAAAAATTAATAAGATAACAGGGATTGAAAATTCCACTCGTCCGCTCGTATGTAAGAGTAGAGATCAGTGCAATACAAGTACGAGTACAAAATGATAGAATGCTAGTACAGCAGGACGAGCGGTAATTTGCCGATGTAATAGGAAGCTTGAATTCTCATAATCAGTTTGTTTACTTTTAACGATGGAAAACCGGAAACAAAGCTTATGTCTTAGGTTATGTATAAATGGGTACCACTAAAATACGCAATGGAGAAAAGCTAAAAACATAAAACCATTATGAAAATCTCAGTTGCGCCGAAAATATGTCCATTTTGCCGCCATGTAAATATCATTTAGAATAACATATTTTCAACACATTCCAAAATGAAGGAAAGTAAATCATTTTTAAAAGACTATTACTTATTATTCTCAATTTGTTTTTCTCATTTCACAAATTTAGGTTATCTTTAAACATAGGATCTACCCGTTATGCAAATCTTTATTTTCCGTTGCGCCAAAATTATGTCAATTTCGCCGTCCATTTAGAATCTGATATATTCAGTATACTACCTAATATAAAATCAATCATGTACATGTACAATATATGTTAAAAATGTTAACAATACCAACTTTTATATAACTATTTTTTGTTTTAGAGATAAAAAAACAGTACATTGTTTGCTAGTATTGAAAATAAAATCTCCGTTTCGCAAAAATTGTTCGGCGCAACGGAGTTATGAAAGTTATTACAACAATACAATGAATGCTTATATTACAAAAATGCTTTTATTTGATTCTGTAATTTAAAAATATCACTTTATTTAGCATATATTTAATACAAATTCAATATAAAAAAAAGAACATTGTTTGCTAGTTTTGAAAAAACGGAGATATGAACGGTATAAATACAATACAATGCTTATAATAAAGAAAATATTGCTATAATTTCAAAATATTACTTTATTCAGCACATGCTAATGCAAATTTTAAAAAATGCATTGCTTATCGTTTTTTAATTTTAAATGTTGCACTCCGTTGCGCCAAAAAAATCTCCATTGCGTATTTTAGTGGTACCGTGTATAAATTGCGCACTTAACGCATTGTTAATTGGATATGGGTGTAACTGAATGCTCTGTAAAGTGCGCGATTTATACATAACCTAAAATTCCGGGTTTGATTCGTAAAATTTGTGTAAACAAACTGATTATAAAGAGATTTCTGCATCGGCGAGGTTCTATTGCATCGGGAAGATTTTTTTTTTGAAATCGTGCCCAAAATACAGGGCGAGTAGCATAACGTGTAGGACGATTAGAAATTTTAAGCTACTCGTCCCTCTAAAAAAGGTAAATATTTTGTTATTTTAGAATGATTTTACATTTATTTTAGAGTGATATTAAATTTTTTTTTTCTCAATGCAAGTTATTAAACTTCGTTAAGTACATTTTATAAATTAAGCTTAAAGGTTATATGATAGTCATGTGACATAGTCATGTGACTACAAGAGAGAGGAAGTTTAATGTGTCGTATAAATAGCCAAAACGGAAATTCCCTTGAAAATTATTTTTTCTTGTTTTGCATTTAAAAGGATCTAAAGAAAACATACAGGTATTTGCTTGTTTGTTTGTTTGTTGTTGTTGTTTTTGTTGTTGTTGCTGCTGTTGCTGTTGTTGTTGTTGTTCATCTAAGTACTTCATTTGTGATGACAGTTTGCCGCACCCATCGATAGCTTAAAACATATTCTGAATAATATTGAAAAATGATAAAATACAGGCTGCACCGCTCAGAATACAAACGCACAGGGAAGAGGGTCCCAAAGTTTGATTTTTGTACTAATTTCTGAATAACCGATGGTCAGTTATTACAATAACACTATTGAAAGTACTAGAGCATATGTTTACATGTTAAAGCATTCTATCAAACTGGTATCAGAGAGACAAGTCTACACTGAGTTAAAGAGCATATCATATTACACGACAATGTTTCCTCAAATAAAGATGACCAGACAGGCTAAATACAAATGATATACAGATGTTGACAATTGAATGCTATTTGAATACTTATATATACAATATGTATCATGTTATCTGCTAAGTTAATGTTTTCAATGGACTCATTAGACATTCTTTGTTTCCAGTTTTTAAGGCTGTCAATATAATGGCTTTCGCAGCAAGTGACGAATTCGTTGGATTAGCGTTGGATACTGAACTGCAAAAAGGCGTCATCGAAGAACAACAGCAGCGTGAACCTACTAAAATCAATATAGGGGTGACTGGTCCAACAAAGTCTGGTAAATCATCTGTCATTAACCGACTAAGAAATGTTTCATCTACTGAAGAAGGAGCTGCAGAAGTAGACAATACTAAAACAGATAGCAGTACTGATGATTACAAATATTCCCATAACCAAAATACCGACATTTTGCTTTGGGAACTACCTGATCAAAAAGGCAAAGAGTTTGATCGGTACGACTTCTTCTTAGTATTGTCAGAGAAAAATTTCTTCGAATCTGATAAATGGTACATAAACAAAATCTTAGAGACAGAGAGGCCATGTTTCTTCGTTTGTACTTGTGTAGGTAGAGGTTTCAGTAAAACCAACTCAGCTGCCCTAAAACATAAAACATGTAAGGATACTTTAGAAAAGACAAGGGCAAGTTGTAAGCGAAACCTTGAATGTTGCGGAATAAAGAATCCAACAGTGTTTCTTGTTGATACTGATGATGCTAAAAATAGTTTCGAGTTTGAGGCATTGCAAGATAAACTTCTACCAATGGTCGAATCAACAAAGATTGGAGAAATTCCATTTTCTTTTGACTGGACGCAGACAGGAAAGATAATGAACTCAAAAAAAGAACTCTTAGAGAAAAGAATACTCGAGAAGGGAAAGCAGGCTTCAAAAGCTAAAACGGTTGATGAACGAAAGAAGATACTACAAGAAGAGGTCATGTTTCAACAACAGCTGTTTGGAATTGACGAAGACAATTTAAAAACAATCGAAACTATGTATAAATTACCCGAAGATTTGAACAAAAGATATGGTATTGAATTTGACACAAGAGCTGGCGATTCGGAGAAAAATGTAATACGTTTTGCCAAAGTTGACGATGGACGTCTAGAGCGCAGTGCTTCTTTGCGTATTCGGCGGGCTTCAAATTTTGTTGTGGGAATGATAAGAGGTGAAGTGATGACAAACCTTTGCAAACGTTGCATGAAAATCCTAGAGGAAAGTTTAAAGATGGTTTTTGACTTAAGGGACCAATTGAATAAAGAAGTGATGACGCACCTTGCTGCGCAAAACGAAAATAAAGGGAGTAACATGTGTTAGTTTGAAGTCAAAATTTCAGGTCATTCGCTCACTCCGTGAGTTCCAGAAGATTTATTCTAATTGTGAATAATGACAAAATTGAAAAGTGTTGTAACGCTTATTAATCAAATGGGATAAGAATGCCATACAAATACGATTATCAATTTATTTCCGAGTATATTTCTTAATCATTTTTTGTATATCTTTTTGTTTTAAGTGTCCCCGCTGATCTACGTAAAGTTTATATTTTTCGGCTTTGGACCTCAGTGGAGTTCCTTTATGTATTGCCAATTCACATACAGTGCAAAACTTTTTAGTTTGCTCTGATGGAGACAGTGTGCATTTTCATGAAAACATTTGAGCCGCGTCACGACAAAACCAACGTAATGCGTTTGCGACCAGCATGAATCTAGACCAGCCTGCGCATCCGCGCAGTCTGATTATGATCCATGTTGTTCGCTATCAGTTTATCTGCTTGTAATAGGGTTTGTAAGCGAACAGCATGGATTCTGATCAGACTGCGCGGAAGCGCAGGCTGGTCTGGATCCATGCTGGTCGCAAACGCATCACGTTGGTTTTGTCGTGACGCGGCTCAATCAAAGTCATAATACTTAACAAAATTGATCAAATCAGGCTCGTATTTACTACTGACTGTTTCTTGTAAAGTAATAAAGTAAGCCGTTTATAGTTTGCTTTTTACTTATACATTTTGAACAGTGCTTAAGGTGTTGTCCATGCGGTTGAATACGTGCTCTTGGTACTACAGCATTTTAACTTTTTAATTCCTACAGTAATGAAGAGCATACATAACATATTTACATTGCCGAATACCAATCTACCTCGGTAGAACATCAAAATACTGATAATGAGCATAATAATATGAAAAAAAAACTAAAGTTGGTGATTAAAAAAGGGCAAATTTCACTTTTATAGGCACAAACCTTTGAGGGTGAGCTAGTTTTTTCCCCCAACAGGGCTTGGGGTTTTTAAAAAACGTTCTTTTTGGGGGCCAGTGGGGTGATGTGACAACTGTGGGGTGGTGTCGCAGTACCCATGTTAAAAAAACAAGTAATTTTGAACTTTAATCGAAGCGCGTGTAAAGGAGATAGCAACCGGACGGACGTTAAATTGCTATACAAACGCTGCGCAATAAAACATAATTCAAGTATATCACAATTATTTTGAAGTAATGACTTTAGAACCGAGAAATATGTCATTAAGAACAACTCATTAATTTCATGCACAAAAGTAAATAACCGTCTTCGATGTAGTAATAATACATTGACAATTATTGGTCGCTTCCACTCCGGATCATGGCAGAAAGCCACGCTGAATTTACTAGAGCACAGTGCAGTCACCGCATCGTTTCTGGGCAGACTGTCAATCAACTTTACCAGTACTTGTTGCCTTTACTTTCGCAAGGGTACTGAAACTTCTGTACATGCCAGAGCAGAGAGTACAGTGCGCGAATGACCGTAAAAGGATGTCATTATCAGTTACAACGAAAGTGACCTGCACAGTCCGGGAATCGAACCCGATTCGCCTGATTCACAGTCCTCCGCTCTATACCTACAGAGCTAACCGGACGGCTTGTTTGCGATGCTTCTGTACTTTTACGGCTCAGTATACAAACGCGTTTTACCCAATTCAGAATGGGGAGACGAAATTTATTAGCATTAAATTAAATCTATTAGGTATACTTTGCCAGAAAATGAGAAATCTTGCACGAAATAGAAGAAGACAAGAAAGCACCACGGGATAGTATAACAATTGCCACTATTACTGCCGGGGCAGTCGCGTTCGATACCATTTTAAACTAATAGGCACTTTAAACTCCGTTGCTTGGTGTTCAAGCTTCTAGATTATTCTTAGAAAACATAAAAGATTGTGAATCAAAAAAGTATTATACGAATTTTGGGAACACAATGTTTGAATTGTGTTTCGTTGCATTGCGGTTTGGTAGTTGACTAGCCAGTTTATTTGATTTTATTTCATTTGCGCATAAATACATTTAACAAAATGAAAAGCGAAATTAATGAAGACTAAGCTCCGAAATAGTATGCGCATGCATCCCAACCTACGTTGCGCCCACTACATCCGCGCGTGACTTCATACTCGCGTGCACTTCAGTCGCATGGCAAGGCGCGTGATTTCGTGCGCATCTACCTTGAATGATTATTATTGTGCTAAGTGCGATATTCTCAACCTTCTATGTGATAGGATGCTTTTATTTAGTAAACATTACATTTAGTTCCAATAAAAATCTTTCCACGCGCTGCCTATAACCACGTGACATCTTAAGCCTCAGTCTCACTTACTCCCGCAGGCCCAGGATTCATCCCGGTAAGTTACCGGGATGATCCGGGGACGATCCGGGGTGGAAATTATTGTTGCGGTCACACTTACCCCGGCAGCACTACGGTAATTCTCAACTAACCACCAGGATTGCGCTCCGGATCATCCAGGCAGAGCCGAGGTGCAACTACGGTTTCATGCCGGTGCTTCCCCGGTCGTTTCCTGGTGACGCCGGAAGAGCCCCGGTTGACCCAGGGCAGGAGCACCGGTCAATCCAGGCAGAGCCCCGCAGAGCCCCCTT